TTCCTCTGATAGATATTTTGAGATTATGTTAATTTGATCATTGACTCATTTGTCAACACTGGCAACAGAGAGGGGTCCAAATAATGACATCACTACTCATAGGTCAAGAGGATCCTCATAAATTTGGAAATTTTTGTTGTTGTTGAAGGATGTTTTTTCATGGCAAGAAGTGCCAACAAATCTCAAGCATGACAAGAAAAAAAAAAAAAAGAACATGTTGATTTTTGGAGAAAAACCAGGTCCATACTATGAGTAAAGTTGATCCTTCCAGCTTTGTTCTTCCATTGCTTCCTGACAACTCCCAGCTTTTCATCATGACACACAGATTATTAGAATGATAGAAACATAAAAAATAAAGATGAGAATGAATTATAGAAGGAGGGGATAATGAGGTTTATGTGATATTATTTGGTTATATTACTTAATACCATCCTACCCGATCTGCCATGGAATTCTTATCATTTCCTACTATTGGAACAACAAGTTTAAGAAACTCTCCTAAGTTTCTAACAGTTCTATACTTTGAAAGCATTCTAATGGGCAGGGGCCATCCGGGTAGCAATAACAGTGTATGGGTAGCTGGAACAAAGCTGAGGGAGACCAACAGAACCCATGTTGCCACAAGAGGATTACTTTAGAGGGAGTTTTGTTATGTAAGAATTATTTTTACAGAACAAAATCAACAAAGAGAAAACACTGTTGACAGGATGGTATACATCTGAAAACACTTTTTGATTCTAAGAATGAGAGTGAAGAGCCATCGACTAGATGTTGAATATTTTCATGTGCATTATACAAAAGGTGGCCATAATAGTCTCAGTCCTGATACAATGAATTAACCCCACAAATTACAACATTCTATCAATCATAATAAGACTCTCTTGAATGACTCTGCAAGCATGTCAAAAGAGTTTCCTTCTCTTCATTGGCTAATCTCTTTCACGTATAAGATACGTCTTCTTATCTAACTGTACAGTTATGACCAGAGAATACTTCAATTCTCTAAAGCTTTTCTATGAACCCACTGGGTATTTTATTACCTTTTTTATACTTTATGAGATTAAAAAATCTGCCCTTTTTCTCCATGGTATTAATGCAGGAATCTGATATGCCTCAGGGCAAACCAGAATATACAGCACTAGTCTCTGTGAGGGCTTCCATTGCGGATAAGGAACCTGTTGCACTATTTTTCAGCTTTGTCCAGAATAAAATGTCTGTCTCCCTTTTAATCGTTACAACATGAGCTTCTTTTCTTGAAATAGTCCAAGTGAGATATGTTGGTCTCATTAAACCTTTAGACACAGCTATATTCACCTTGATTCTGAAAGCATGGTATATCATTTGTTTCATGAACAAAGGCTATGGTTTGGTTACTACAAAAGTAATTACATCAGATTGCATAACCTATTACTTAAACATTTTAGGTTGTGCTGTGTGCAAAGGTTTTCTGAAGAGACATCTTTAATAAAAATATCTGACACGCTCTTCTATTAGAATAACTGTTCATGTATCCATGACTAATGTAAGCATACACCTGAGAACATTAGAATATCCTTCATCAGTTTTAAAGTGATGTGCTCCAAGACAGACAGCTTAATTCAAATTCCTGTAATTAAAAAAGCCTCTCTCTTTTTAAAAAAAAATAAATTTTAGAAACTCTAAAAAAAAGCCAAGATATATGTAAATTTAAATTTATTCATAATTAATAGTTTTTAACCACACAATACCATGTTTACAAAAGGATGTATAATTTTAAAAATAAATATATTTTTATACTAGAGCCTCAAATTTCTAAATATCTTTATATCAGTTACATATGTAAACTTAGGTTATTAATATATTTTGTGATATTTGAATACACTAATCTTTTCCTTCATATATGATAATGTTTTTATGGAAAAGAAATTCACTTTAGTACATGAATGTTATCCCAATATTCTAAAATACCAGCATAGTAACAAGTGTTCAAATTTGATTTCTTTTTATGACTATGGAATCATAACATCAATAACAACTGATGAGGAATACCTGGTTTAGTCATAGAGTCTTGCATGGCTCATTTTCTTTTTTAATTGTCACTTGCAAAGAGGTAGGTGGCTTGAAGATTAGCAACCTGTGACAACAGGTCTTGCCACCTGCATTCACTCCTCCCCTCCAGTACTTGAGGTCCTTGCACCCTACAAACAGTGACTGTGGCCTTGCTGGTGGTGACCACTGCCCCAACTACCCCCCTCAGGCTTGTACTTCATGAGAGTTTCTGAAGCTTAAGTGAAGAAAACTGGAAGAATCAGTTATTTAGCATTATGTTAAAGAAGCAATTTGTATGGATAGATAAAAAGTGGAAAGTCTGGGGAGTTTCCTTTTGTACCCTTTCTAAAATGACCATGATACTTACTTGTACTAAGGTATTCCTTTTTAATTTGCAGGTGAATACTTTGTTCCCTGATCAATCACAATATATGAACGAACACCTGGTTATAAAATAAGGCTGCCTAGAAAAGGTTGGATATAAACAGCCACTTATTTTTTTAATAATTGGCAATAATTCATTCCTGCCAATAATTTATGCCTCTTCTAATCCACAATCAAGTGATACTGTTTTTTTTTCCCTATACATCAGGGAGTTGGTAAAGATGATAATAAAAGCAATAAAGGTGGAGCACCTAATGTACCTCATTACTGCTAACCTCCAGGAGATACAAACTGAATCCATGGTGCCATCATACTGAAATCTGAATGCATTTCACTTCACACATAGAAAAATGGCATGACAACTGTGTGAAGTAGGTCCACTCTGTCATAGGAAAGCAATGTCTTAGTTGGGAACACGCTGGAGGACTCATCTACAATCTTGAGAACATGTAAGGGAAACAGAGATTTGATTCTAAAAACAAACATCAATGTGGTCGAAGGACAAGTTTAGCTAATGACAAATCATTTTGTCTCAATTCAGAATACTGATAATTTTCTCATAAATATAGCACAGAGATGGTAAAGCAGTAGGACATTTGGTCAAACCACACAGTGTCATTTCATTGTTAACTGCTGCTTTTAGACACTGCCATCCTTTGATACTCTGCTTCATCACTACAAAACTATCTGTTACATATTTTGAATATAATAAAAATAAACAAAAATAACTTTTCTCCCCCCCAAATTATTCTTACATAAAGAGGGTTTTGACTTATCTTCTAGTATTTACATTCATTCCTTTGTTTTCTTTCCTATTTACCTTAAATATTCAAAATACTCTTAGGAGATGACATATTGGCCTGAAATAACTCTCATCAATACTAGTTTGGGGGCTTGAAGGACACCTGATAATATAGAAAAAAATAAAATAGGTTGTAAAAATATTTTCCCACAGATGGATGTTATTGTAAAACAGCCTTTAAAATAAGGGAAAAAAAACTTTGGATGCATTACAATTAGTTTTTGCAGATTAAAAAACCACAACTACAAAAGGAATCTTTAAAAAATACTGCTTGAAGGCATAAATAATTTCTTGGGGCTTAAGACATTTCTTGAGATAGTAACAAATGTGGATTCAAAGAGGGCTGCTCTAAACACTTAGAAATAATAACAACTTGCTCCAGGAAACTAGTGAATAACTCTAGACATGTTCTAGTAATGACAAACTGCTAACGTCAAAGACACATGTTAAACAGTCAAGTTAACTGTCAAAGGCTCACTTGAAATATTAAACATTTTCATAAAACATAAGTACAAAGAAAGGAGCATTTTCAAATTAACATGAGACTATAAACATTTGCAACTGTATTAATGACTATCAGAAGTAACCATTTTAGTATTTCATCTACAGTCCTTACAATTTATATCATCCATTTGGCCAAATAAATCCATTATATGCAATTGCTCACTGGGCACTTCTTTCAGGTGGGAAGCAGTTTATATAAAGAGACTACGGAGTATTCATTTCTACTGAATTGGTTCACTGAAGTGGGTGGAAAGAACTCCTGTTTTAAATTAAGTTTATATTTTCCATAATTTTGTAATAATATGTGCTTAAAATTAAAATTCACTTCCCCAATGTTTGAGTTTCCTTAAACACAGTCTCAGAAGTTTAGAAGTTATTCAGGTATAGTATAATTGTTTCTGTATGGAGGAATAAAAAGAGTAGACCACATTCTAAAAATACAAATGGGGGAGGGAGAGCGGGAACTACCCAATACAGTGTCAATAGATGGATGGATGTTGAACACTTTCTGTGTTCATCAATAGATGTTGAACACTTTCTGTGTTCATCAATTTGCTTGGTAAATAGCATCTGTCATGTAGGCATTTAAATTGTTAGCACACAGAGGTAATTTGGCAATGAGCTTCGCTGATTAGATGCTGTTGAATCTGGATGACTCTACATGCCAGAGAGCACAATTCAGCACTAGGCATACCTGCTCTAAACTTCACCTGAACCACCAAGAGAAACTTCTGAAAAGACGATATCCATGGCAAGGTGATCCTAGGGTCTGAAATCTGCTCACTGTCACAGTGAGATTCCAAACAGACATGCTAGCACACGCAGGTCAATAAACCACATTCTGTCTGCTGTGAAGGGTGCAGCACATTCAGAACATGAAGGGAAGAGGGGAAGGGCTCCAGGGCAAATAGTATGATTTGAGGTGCTGCAGCAAAGTTCAACCCCCACGTTAATTTAAGAAAGAAAGAAAGAAACCATGACATGAATAATCCAAAAATATCTCTGAATCCAAATTAATCTAATGCAATACTGAATCAAAGTATAAGTATTTGAATTTTTTTTTTTTTTTTTTTTTTTTTCAAAAAACCAAAAATGGGTACCATGAGAACACAGTTGTTCAAGTCCGCATTGTTTTTCTCTGGTTGTTCTTTCTAAAACTGCACAGTGGGTGTACACTTACTTATATTTATTCCACATTTTGCTTTGCCATAATATCATTTCAAAGCATGAAATAAATGACAATAACAATGTAAAGCAATTAAAAAATGAAAGTGTTCCATACCTGAGAAATCTGCAGCTAGGAGATCTACTGCCTTCAAAACCTTCACTTGTAAAATGCCAACATCCTTTATATCTTTCAGAGAGTTCTGTAAGCACTGAGGGGAGAAAAGGAGATCACAAATGAAAATAGTTTTTCAGTATACTATTAATGCTCTGAAGGCCTATGGGGCATCTGTACATTCTATTATCTTCTCGTCTCATGAAATATTAGAAGAGTTTCAAACATACACTATGCCAGTCCACAGGACAGTTAGGCATTTACAGCAGCCAGATTAAAAAAAAAAAGTGACTGAGAATTAATTAACTACAACTCCAAAATTAACAAATTAAAAACACATACAATCTACTTTTAACATCGCCCCCTGGTGTTAGCAAAGATACCCCACTGGGAAAATGTGTGGGTAGAATGACATTCTCTTTTTTCTCTCTTTTTTTTCTCTTTAATGCAAATTTTAAATCACACTAAATGCAACATTATTCTGACCTATTTAGTATAAACTTACGGATGCAAGAATACTAAATTTGGACCAATGTAAAAATTTATTACCACTGGAAAGAGTGGGAATGAAAACAGAGTGAATTTTCTGATCCATGCCATAGCCAAGTTCTTTAGAGATTTAGTATCTTATATCAACCTATATTCACATTTTCTGTAATTTTTAGTTTGCATTATACAAAGTTGGAATATTTGGTCTGGTCATTCTTAAGCATATAAAGCAATATTGAGATGTCTAAATATATGATAGCCTGAAGAAATCATGCATGAAAAAGATAATTATATAAACCCTCTTCTCAAGCATACAGAATGCATCCAGTGAAAAAGATCCTGTTTCAAAACCTTCAGATACACATTGTTATTACCTAGCCAAAAACCTGTCATAAGCAGATCCCCAGGGATTGATATTGAGACAGTAAATTCCATTTTATTTAGGCATCTCAGGGTTGAATAGGAAAAGTTTAGTAAGAATAACAATAGGCAGACCTAATACATATAATTCTTAAGAACTTTTAAAAGTTGTTTCTCTTTGAATTTTCAACCTAAACCAAACAAAGTTAACTAGTTCTTAAGCTAAGAGGAAAACATGATACAATACACTTTTATACTGCAGAGAGAGAAATACCTTAAAGGAATATCTACTCTTACAACCTAAAAAAAAAAAAAAAAAAAAAAAAAAAAAATCCCACCTCTTTAACAGTACATTATTGCCTTCAAATGCTCTGGCCAGCTTGTAAGTTGAAGAAACACCTGGAATTTCTATTTTCATTATAGCTTCTTTAAACCTCAATTATTATCCCTGAAATTCTAAGGCATTATTCAAATATATCATTACTACGCTATATAATGTTACTTTTCAAATATACAGCATACGCCATAAATTTTGTAAATTGTGCAATTTATTCATTGGAAAGCTTGGGGATACTTTTAGTTTTTACCATCAAATTTTCATTTGCTTATGTAAAGTCATCAGAGAGACTACCAATAATAGGGTATTCTGTCCAAACTTCTTCAGAGTACATCAAGCGGGCATGCAGAATTCGTGACACAGAAATATATGTGGTTAGGCTTTGTACTCTCCAAGATAAAGATCTATTCAATTAATCAATACATGCATACAGTGAAGGATTCTGGAGGCAACAAAGTTTATGCTGAGGATGATATTGCCATTGAATAAGGATTCATCTTTGCTTTATTTTCATGCCACTTTCTTAAAAAAAAACATGCCTTCCATGTATGGAAATCAAGTGGATGTATTGATTTACAAAGAAGATGGCATAAAAACAGAATACAAAGGGGAAAAAGCGCTTTTAGAAAGTCAGCATTAAATAAATAAATAAATAAAGATAAGACAAAACAGGTATTTGATTTTAAAAATGTGGACTGGACTGTTAAGTACAGGGCAACTACTTAGGGAAGAATCACATTGATGTCATCATCCAGGTTTCAGGATTCGATGGTCCTCTGCTGCTCGTTTTAGGCTTTGTGAGACAGGAACATACCCTCTCTTGATTCTAAAATAACTTAGGAGTCCATAACCTTGCAACCAATGCCATTAAAATCCATGACATTACAAACATTAATGGTTGGTTAAAAAACAAAAGCCACTTTTGTTGAACTTCCATTAAAATTTCTATGCACATATCCAAACATGCTGAATTAAAGCCACTTCCTTGAAACAACTTGCAAAAGGCTAAAAATTTAAAATATCTTTTTGGGATTTAAAAATAACAAGGCAAACTCCAAGTCTTCTTTCACTTTCCAATAAGTATATTAATCCGTAGGTCCAGTGCCTTCTTTTAGGAGATACACAATGAAACTTGGGACCAAAATCTCTTTTGATGTAGTTTTTGATTCATAGACTTTGTTTTAATTTAAAACTAGGAGGGAGTAGGAGTGGTATAACAAGGCAGCACAACTCACATATCGTTGGGAAATCTGCTTTCTTTCGCTGGGGTCCTCAAAGGGGCAGACACACAGATCTGAGATGGAAACTCCCGCACAGGGTGTAAGTGTGATCAACATAAGGAGAGCCCCCAGGCAGCTCTCCAGCGGCAGCTCCAAGCAGTTGGCTTGCTTCAGCGGGAGTGCTGCGATATCCACTTTACACCTAGAAATTTTCAGAAGTCAGAGAAAGAAAAGTGATTAACTCAAGGCCACTGTAGAACCTCCAAAGCACCTGTCTTGCATTCCATCATCCCCAAACCTTACTTTGTCTGAGCTCAGGTTTATTGAGCAGTGAAGGTTCTAAGTGCTCCCCTGGCTTGGAACACTCACTCCCAAACCACCCCACTCTAAAAGTAAGGAGAGGAAGAGATAAAGCAAAATCCACAAGCAGGCAGCATGGGGGGCAGGGGTGGCAAATGCAAAGAGATAAGTCAGGTCTGTGTCAAATAAGGCCTGCAGAAAGACAATAAGATCAAGAATTAAGTAGAAAAAAGTTTCCAAGTTTAATGATCATAAATATAGATACAGCTTCCCTTTGTTGTGGCTTTTAGGAGTAAGGAGAATAAAAGAACATGGTTCAAATAAAAGAAGGAATAAAGAGAAATCCAAGTGGGAGAGGGTTAATAGAGAAAGCATTTTCTTCCCGATTGATGCCAACTGGCAAATTTTTATTTAAAGAAACGTGTTAAGGTGTTTTCCTAATAGGCACAGTTCCACAGGGTTTCCCCAGGTGGGTTTCTTTTGGACAAATGGAGCATGAAGTGTTGTTGATTGATCCCATCTCCCAGCACTGCCAGGAAGGGCTGTACCCATCTGCTATAAATTGCATGTTTTCCGCCTCTTAACAGCCAATGTTCTGGAGTTGTTGAAAACCTCAAACACATTTAAATACAGAAGCAAACACCAAAAGGGTGGGGGGGGGTGCTGAGGTGCTAAGTAATTTATTTGCTTTAACATTGAAAGCTCTGGGTTTGCCTAGACCACACCTACTATGTTTATGTATGCAGGTGGGTGAGGAAGCCCTGATTGGGGCAGGAACACACAATAATTCTTAGATTAATTTTTAACATCATTCGTATTTGTGCTTCACAATTATAGAATATGATGAATATTCCAGACTTTAGGAAAGGATAGAAGTATTGCCTCTCACAACAAGCAATAATGATGCATGCTTGCCCTGACAGCAGATAACCAGAAAGAGGTAACTAAGATATATATTATATAAAACAATGATGACTTTGAGGTACCTAGATATAATAGACAGAACCTTGCAGTTTACTATGAAAAACTGCAATCCTTTTCCCAATTAAATGGAAAGAATCAATTACATTAAAAGTCCATACCAATTATTATTATAGGATGAAAATACTTATTGATAATTGTCTATAAAATTAAATAAACATGGATAATTGTTTCCTATTTACCTAAAGTGATCCCACTTGAGAAGTGATTTTCCTTTGCATAGAGTAAATTTATCAAGTATGTCTACTGAAGGAAGATTACATATAGATCTACATATATTATTTTCTATGGTTTGTATCAAAACAATATTTTCTATAGCAAAAGGGAATCTTAAAAAAAAAAACACCTAAAACTAGGGCCTGGAGTTGTAGCTCAGTGTTATTGATTGATCCCATCTCCCAGCATTTGCCTTGCATGCTTGAGGCCCTGGGTTCAATGCTTAGCATCACATAAATAAACAAACAAACAAATAAAAATAAAAAAATTGTGTCCATTTACAACTAAAAAAATTAAAAAATTAAAATCACTCCCATGAAGAGAGAGTTAATATTTCTATATCAAATGCATTTATGTAAGTAGGTAATTAAACATGTTTGGAAATAAATATTAAGTGCTTTATATCATTTTAAGACAACTATGAACACACACATTCTTAACAAATTTTTCCATATATATGCACAGGAACACATTATTTTACACTGTTATATACTTTCATTTATTAATAATACCCTTTCTTATAGAATGATAAAAGATCCAAATTTGTAAGAATTTTAATGGTCACTTTAATTAGTCCAAATTCTAACTCATTGATGGTACATGCTTTTTAATGCCATTAGTAATGGCAATGTTTGCTCTTTAAATGTTTACTGTGTAGTACTAGTTTGTTCATTTGAACAGTCAGAAGTTATTTAGAGGCAAGCACTCTGAAGGTTTGTAGTATTTGGAGGTCAAAAGTAATGCATAAATAGGCAACAGTAAATATTTTATTGGATAATTCAAAATGGTTCTGACATGTTTCTAGAGTAAACTAATAATGTTGTGATCAATGTTAGCATATTTATAGTAACTTTACAAACTCTCCTAGTGTCTGCTAAAATGCACAACTTATTAGAGAGAAGTTGATTTTAAGCAAAAGCTGACCACCCACCAGACAAAATGCAAAGTAAATTTTGAATTTCTTCTCAGAAATTATACCTTTGCACAGCCTTTTTAGTCATCTCTGTCCACTGTGAAAGCTTGGATTTACCTACTCTTTTAAAGATTATGTAATTAACTAGGAAATAACAGTTTTATGCAAAACAACCGTATCTACATTAAATACCAGAGCTCCATAAGCAGCAGGTTAATGATACTGGTACCAGTTTAATGTGTTCTACATTCTCCACTAACTACTGAGTATATACTCCAGTTTTCTTTTTGCAGTGACTTGAAAGAGCAAGTTAAATTGGTATATAGGTATCACATCAATCAAAAGGTTTAAAAGTTTTGCACATGGATTTTGATCTGTTTGGGTTCCTGCACCAACTATGTGTATTGATTCCTTAAGTCTTAAGAATTAAAGTTCCTTTTTCCTGATTTTAACAACCGGTTCCTCTATAAGGATGACTTTCTACAAAATGTCTAAACTTCTTCCACCCACCTTGCTTCCCATTTGTTCTCTCATTCAAGAAGAAAGAAGGAAATATAGAAGGAAGGAATGCATCTCATACAAAATCCTCTCCATCAGGCCTCCCATTTTTCTGTTTCAACCTCAGTCCACACTGCTCCAGCTTGCTCTACAGTTAAGAGGAGAACCACTAGAAGTTCTCAGGTGAGCCAGAGGCAGGGAGAATGATCCACATGAACACCAAACTAGGAGTGGGCAATATTAGCAACAGGTAGTAGAAAGAACCTTTAAAGAAGTTTTCCTTCAGAATTTTAAAGACTTTTAGCACAATATCCACCCAAACTTCCTAAGAGGAGGGAAGAATCAAGTGAATATAATAACTCTGTGGGTTTTTTTAAGGTTCAAAGATAAATGGACTAAAATCTAAAACATTTAAGATGTAAACATTTTGTAATACACTCGAAGATATTTTTAATATAAAAATAAATCCTGAAAGGAGAATCCAGAGACTTCTTTTCCATTTTCCATTATTGTATCACATTCTCTCAGAGTATTTACTAAATATTGTGGTTGGTCTTTTAATTTCTTCTAGTTGTTACTGAAGCCCTAAAAAATCTTTTGTTGTTTTCCAAGGCTTTCTGTCCACTATACATCTACTTGTTATGGATGGGGCATAAGATTTTCTCACATGTAGACCTTTTTCAGTGAAGGACCAAAATTTTAATACCTTCACTTGGAAGTCCATGTGGTCTCTGATGAAATTATTCAACTCTACCCTTGAAGCAAGAAAGCAGTAATAAATATTGAAAACAAATGAAGAGAATTGTTTCCAATAAAGTTTTATTTGTAAAATCAGGTAGCTATCCGGTATTGACCCACGAGCCATAGACTGCATAATCTTGACCTACAGAAATGTTAATAATTTAGCTGTGGTGAATGATAGCAACAGAATTATATTTTTTTTAAATCACAATGTTGCAGAAAACAGAAACAAATAAACTAAGATAATAGATATTAGTCTAAGGATAATTTTTATAAACAATTTTAACTCAACACAGACCAGGAGACCATGGCCAAATTATGCAATGATCTATTTGTCAATAAAAACTGATATAGCATTAAAACTGCTCTTCTATCTGACAAACAATGTGGAAAACATACTCAGAGCATCTCTGTAAGGAACATGATCAATGAGCATTAACCAAGTAGGCCTGTCCCATGGCTGTCTGTGTGGCATCACATTCAAGGTGAGTGCCATGCTTGGATAATAATTCCCAAGGTATAATACACTGATGCTCAAGGGACCAGAAAATTCTCATTTCAATGTCAGATCTTAGAAAATACAATTGATAGGAGCTCCTCTGTGATTACTTTTATTATGAAAATGAAAACAGCATAATCACTGATGTGTGTGTACCTGGAGAGGAGCTCCCAAGATTCATTCATGGGACATGGAATCCCACAGCTTTGTCAACTGCCTTCCTCTCCAGCTCCACTAGGTGACATTTCGAACCCATTCCACCCATTAAGTTTCTCAGGGGGATTGTGCCCTATCTTCTCTGTAGACATCTGCCCATATTGTGTGCTCTTCCTAGAAAATTCTTTCAATCTCCTTGCCAAGGTCATTCCCAGCCTTTTTAGAGGTCTCTGTTTAGATGCTGTTCTTCTAGGAAGCCTCCCCCTCATACCCTCCCCCCATGCCAAGTTGGTTTCCACAGTACTGAGATGCTCAGCCCTCACTCCATGGTACCATCACTGCTGGCTGACTTATAGTACCAAAAATTCGATGCCCATGGACAGCAGCCTTGAATCAATGAATCCTCAGCACTTTACAGCCCAAACAACATACAACATAGTCTATATATTTGAATAAGATGAAGACACAAACCAATGAATGTCACTGGTGTCAGGAAACTCATGAAGTCAAGAAATTCAAATCAGAAAATAAGTACTTTATGTTAACTAAATCTTCTGCAGTCCTTTTTTTCTTTCCATGTTAGAAAAACAAAAAGATTGAAATAAATGTATTTCCTAGGTGCCTCTCAGATTAAAAATTCCACTTCTACTCACCTGAAGGAAACAGGAACTAAATTACTTGTATTTTTTTTTTCTGGAACAGGCATATATTAGAGCTTTCCTCTCTCATCCACAGGCAGTTAATGTGCTGACTTAGCATTTGCTTTTGACCTCCCATACTTGTCTTTCTCCATTAATCCTACAGCATTTTGATGTTTTAATTCAACACATAATTTTACCATATCAGTCAGCCAAACCTGCTCAAGTTTTACTTGCCATGATAGCTTTTAACCTCATATTCATTACCATAATTCTGTTTTATATTATAGACTGGTCAGCTTTTAACTTAAATGCAAGGGGCCAAAAAAAAAAAAGTGCTATAGTTTTAAATGCTGTAAATCTCAGAAGCTAAGGAAGCAGGAGAACAGGAAGAAAACAGTGAATGTGCGAAGCCCTGCTGTCAAAGCAAATCAACGACGTGGGGTGCAATTTGTCCAGAGAAATACTCCAGCTCAGATTTTTCACTGCCTCAAAGTCCCTAATAAACTGGTAGAATGTCAGAGCCACTTTATAAGACACCATTTGGGACCTAGGAGTGACCGTGAGGCAGGCCAGTCAAAAGAGACTTACTGATTCTCATTCTTAACCTTCCCAAACTGAATTAAATCTAGAATATTCTATAACAAGTTAAGGTCTGCAATCAGTTTGGAATGGAAACGAATCATTGAGACAAATGATTGTGATTTCTTTAAAACAACACAAAATTAAATAATCAATATTAATCTATGTTCGTATTTTTGTATTTTGTTAAATAGCTGGAGCAGGTTAAACCTAGCTTTATGTTTTTACTCTCCCTAATTGTTCCCTATCACTGTCTAAGAGCTGCTACTATCCCTTTTTTTTTTTTTTTTTTGGCTTTGACCATGAACAAACAGTGAAATCTAGAGGCAACACAGTTTCAGAGGATTGTGGATTGTGGGTCTTACTTAACCACTTTCATCTCACTTACCCCAACCCCATAGCAGTTTCCCTGTGGCACAGCCAGTGCCCACAGGTGGGAGGAAGATGGCACAAAGAGAAGTCAGAAAGCCCCATATAACTCAGGAGAGCTTAGAGGTCACTGGTTGCTGGCAGGGCCATATTTTAGTCATCACGAAAATAGTAACCTACCAGTGATAATGGAAGTTCTCTTCACGTAACCAACCATCATCCCAGCCTTTCTATCCACAGCTACAAAACCCCAGCATTGTTCAAGCTTATCTATACAGATCCATTCTTCATTCAGTATGTGTCCCTTCCACCATGTCCTTGAAGATGTTCACTGCTCACGTCTACCCCCCCCCAAAAAAAAAACAATCACAAAAAATTGTCTGCACTGTTTTGAATAAATGCTGAATTTTGATAGTCACATTTCATTCACTTAATTGCATAAGTTCAGTCACGAATGTTGTGGGGATCTAGAGTTGCCAGACAGAAAAATCTTAAAATTAATAATCATATCCACCATAGATGATATTAAATAGACATTGTTACTGTTGGACATGATGATCCTACAAGATGGCCAATGGCCCCATTTTACAGCTAAAGAGCCAGTCTGCACAAGCAAACTCATGACCCAAGGTCATATGGCTATCTCCTGATAAAATGTTCTTTTCCTCATGGCAAACTGTCTGTGATGGGAAGCTTTAACAGTTATTAACATGAAGATGTTATCCAAAAAGAAAATATGAGAAGGTCATTAGGGGACACTTAAGGATCATTCATATTGTCAGAGAGCCTTCTGATGTCACAAGGTATTTTCACAACAGTTGGAACATAAAACAGTTGAGCCTCAGAATACATAACATAAAAGAAAATGTGTGTGGGGGGGTACCAAAATATTTAAAAAGTAACTAATAAGAAGGAGCCACAACACATCAGTGATAGGCTCAGCACAGTACCTCCTTTAAATCTGAGGGGCCATATTCTATTTTAGTATAGGTCTCTCCCCATTGGTACAGCAATACTGTGGAGCCTGCTCCCAAGAGATACTTTTGTTATCTTTTGTACTACGAAAAAAAAAAAAAAAAAACTTTAAACATCCATGAAGAGGAAGGATAGAAGGACTGAAAGACCAGAAGACTGGTATATTTCCCAGTTGCAAACAGGAAATAGCTAAAATAATAAATGAATGTCCAAACGACAAAACATGAAGTGAAAGGAACATCTTAAAATTATGTTTTTGTTCCTGTGAGGCAATGCAACACTCATTTGGAAAAGCATTTCCTCTCAAGTGATGGAAACTAAAGGCAGAAGGATGTGTGAAATGCAAGGGCATTATTCCTTGTACCTACTAAAATAACACTCTGGCCATTCATCACCAGAGGGCCAAATGCCCACTTGCATTGCAGGACACAGTATTCTCAGTTTTAGTGTAACTTACCCTTGATCCATGGCTAGCACTAAAGTTTCTGGTTCTCCTACAATCTGCATTGTTAGGACCCTATTATGACACAGCAGTGACAATGCCAGAAGTACTGACATTACTGGATCTGAGTCAGTTCAGGTACCTGGTTTGAGCACAAGAGGGAGAGATAAGGTCAGACCAGTAACCTGATAGGCATCATCCATGAGATGCTGGCCCACAGGAGGTCTCCTGCTTGAGGTGGCAAGTTTGGCATGGCCTGGTTTGCTATATAAATACACAAACCTGGCTTGGGACATTGTAAACAAAGCAGAAACTATTGCCCACCAGATAAGCCAGATTGCACATGAAGACATTGCATTAAACAATGGAACCAGGGTATGGCACATAGCGAGCGAACAGCAGAGACTTCAACTGACAGAGGTCCTGGCAGTGCTGGTCCCCCGAAGCATATAGACTTGTGTATTGCATTGCAGGTATTCTATATGCTTGTATATGTGCAGATGAATGTGCATTCCACCCAATAATTGGGGAAAGTTATTGGCATCAGGTGAATGAGAGCCAGGTTTAGCTAAAAAATATCCTGCAACATGTCAGAGAGTTCCTTACAACAGGGACCTTCTGCTGAGAAACACTGGAAGAATTTTCTGTGGATATTCAACTCCCCACTCATCTATCTCAGAATAAACTCCTGAGGGAGACTGAAGCAATGACAGCAAGAAGAGCTAAAACCCTGGGCAGTGGGTACAAGTCTAAGACCTTCACAAAGTATTGTCAGACATATTTTTAGCTGAGTGACATGGCATTTCTGCCTCTAAAGTCCTTGCTACCTGAAAAAAAAAATTTTTTTTTTGCATCTCTAGGCCACTGTATTTCCTTAAAATTAAAGAATTATATTAGATGAGTCACTTTCAATCTTCAGTTTTGGATAATAAAACTCTTTCCTCAACTGGAATGGCAAGGTAAACATAGGCCAATTTGAGATGCTCTGGCCACAGGGGAAGAGAAGTGAAAAGAGAACCTCCCATTGCCAAGGCATATCCTTGACCCCAAGTTCAAGGTTTGAAACAAGAGATCCATAGCAATTGAGATACTTTTAAATGTTTGTGTTCTTAAGATATGCATACAAATTTTATTTTTGTGGGATAAACAAAAGGCGATGATGACTTGATTGAAAGAACTAGGTCTTTGAAAATACAAAATCCTGACTCTGGAACTCATGGTTCTCAAGTCCAGTTCCAAGTCATGTGTGATTTTTAAAAAATATTTATTTAGTTGTAGATGAACACATAGGATCTTTATTTATTTTTATGTGGTGCTGAGGATTGAACCCAGTGCCTCACACATGCAAGGCAAGCACTTTCCCACTGAGCTACAGCCCCAGCCCCTCATTTGTGAATTTTTGCTTAACTTTCTCATCTACAAAAGGAGCTTGCTGGGCTAGTTCTGCAGATCCAAGGTGACCTGTACTTCTAGCAGCATCTCTTTTGTGCTTCCAGTACACTCTTTATTATACCCTAAGAGGAAGCTGTAAAACTTGTCGTATGTGGAGGAGTGTGTCAATGAAGTTGGGAGAGTCCAAGGTAAAGAAACGAAAAACAAAACAGAATTGGCCTTGGTGGATTTCATTATAGTCTGCTACAAAGAACATTGGAATTTAAGAGACTAAGTCCTATATAGAAAAACCCAAATAGGATATACTGGAAAGTTTTTTAAAGCAATTCTTTTATTTATTATACATTTATTTATTTTATTTATCTTTCTACTTATTTATATATTTATTTTTATGCAGTGCTAAGGATCAAACTCAGTGCATCACATATGCTAGGCAAGCGCTCTAAAACCCAAACGGGATATACTTGAAAGTTTCTCAAAATAATTATTTTATTTATTATTTATTTTTTATTTATTTTTATGTAGTGCTGAGGGTCAAACTCAGTGCTTCACATGTGCTAGGCAAGCGCTCTACCACCGAGCTACAACCCCAGCCTCTATGCTGGAAATTATTACAAACATAGTCTCCAAAAGGTAGTTGGAACCTCATATTTCAGAGAATTCTTGACACAAACTACAGTTGGCCCTTTGGTTCCACATTTTCAGGTTCAACCAACCTTGAGAGAAAGTATGGAATACATGCAAGGACATTATGAGGGCGTTTTTATTCAATGAATAATATAGTATAACAACATTTTACTTGCCATTTATATTGTATCAGTAGTTATGTTAATATAGATATAATTTAAAATGTAGAGGAGGAAGTACATGAGTTGTACATAAATACTGCACCATTTTATACAAGGGACCTAAGACTTGGGGGTTTAGGTATCTACAGAGGGTCTTGGAACCAATGCATCGTGAATATTGAGGAACCATTGCATTTTGTTCTCTTTTATCTATGGTTTTTAAATACTGAATTTATCAATTAAAAACAGGAAATTCTTGGGGTGGCACAGAAGCTATTTCCCTCAGCCCAACCTCTCTGCACCAGCCCCATGCACGCACAAGCTCCCACAGGTTAGAAGCAGAGCAGACTCACGTGCCCAGTCGCTCTTCGTGCTTTTTGCTGTCTCTTCCCCACACTTCAATGTCCAAAATGCCCATCCTGTCAGAGAAGTAGTGAAAGTCAAACTGTTCCTGCCACTGCGGATTTGCACTCTTACACAGTGTCTAGAAAACATGCAGTTATAATATTTATTTTCTTAAAACGTCATACATTGCTATAGCAGCTACACATTTAATTTCATTTCTAAATGGCAGGAGGTTGAGACTATAGACTTGCCCCTTATTAAGTTAAACTTCCTTTTATTAAATAAAAGTGACTTCAAGGGTTCAGAAATTGGCAAAACATGGCTACTTTAACTGGTCTTAGATTCAATAATTTATCTAAGTTCAGAAGAACGACATAAGAAACCAAAAATATCATATTCACACCCATTGGTATGTGTATATAGTGGATGTACATCAATAGACAGTGGGCAATTTTTCTCTCTTGAGAAGATAATACTAATTGGAAAATCAAATGCAAGTAACATATTAGTTGGCTTATGCATTCAGTGCTGGCTTAGGAACTACATAAATTAACTGTTTTGGGGTCTTAATTAACATTGATCAGATGCATTAAATGAAAAACCCATAACTTGTACATTGATGTCTGTTTCTCAAATCCAGTTACTGGATCCAGACAGTAAAGTGGGGATAAGACGTGGAAATTCCACTGCAGCCATACTTGAAAATTAATAAGAGTAGTTTGAAAGTTCTACAACTATGTCTGTATTCTCTAAGAATAATTTCAAACCATATATGTGTTTGGTTCATTGGCAGGTTTTTCATTTTTCTTTCATCTATGGAGATCCAATTTATGAATAAGGTGTGAATAAAAATGTTGAACACTGTGTATCAGCTCTAGGGACACAGCATCAACTACTAAATCCTAGCAATGACTATCTATGCATGAGAAAAACAGGGGCAACTCTGATCTCAGGTGTAGTCAATGTCACAAGAAGTCGTTTAACTGGGCTTTCAAATCACACTATATCAGATCACAGAATTTGGAAACCAGGAAGAAAAAGGGATGTATTAGAACCACGAATTATATATGTAGTGTTCCCCAAAGGACAAAGTGGCAGATACGGGACAAATTCTACACTTCACCTTAGTCCAAAGAGCTGTGTTCCTAGTGATGAATAAGTTCCCACAAATCCTGAGCCCGACCCTGACTGGCTAAAGGAATCTTAGTGGAGAGATGTGGTTACTTCAGATCCACTGGTTATAAAGTACAGCCTAAAACTACCAGCTTAAAATAATTATCTGTGTGTTTCTGCTATAAGTCACCCTAGATTTTTCACAAACCTTATAACTTATTCTTCAACATGTGCCTATTCCTCTACTCCCTTTGTGCTGAAATTTTGAAAATGGCTAATATTGGATTTTGCACTGGAAATTGTGCAGCATAAGACAACCTCTTGCCTTCTGAAATCATTTTCCAAGTTTTCTGTTTCTTCTGTGCTCTAATGCTGGGAAGTCCAAACTGCAAATATCCCGGGTCTATTTTCAAAAATTTCCACTGAATTTTATTCTATGTGGCTTTTGACAAGTGACATAACTTTCAAGTACCTTAGCTCTTTTGATTTATAAAACATATAAAATATTCCTGTCTGACAGTTATGTAAAACTAATTAATTTCCATGGTTTAGAGACTATGGTTTGAAATAAAATCCACACCAAATTACTAAGATTAAAAATTAAATGGAATTTGGATTTACAGAATAAGAAGATTTAAAGACAGCTAAAAATGCCATTACTTTCACTTTTAATACTGTAGTAGTCTATTTTTAAAAAAAAAAAAAATCACATCAAAACCAGCAGCACTTAGATAACTATTTTTGTTATTCACACTAATAAGTGAGAAACAGCACAGAGGTATATAATTTTGAAAAAATTTCTTCAGTTATCTCTTATATTTTAATCCAGATTTCAAGTAGTATGTGATTTTATTTATATAGGATTTTGGAGACATCCAGCTATTTTTTTCCCTGAATTCTCTGAAACCATTTTTATTTTCAAAATGAAAATAAACCATGCATTCAAAACTATGACTCAAAGCTTTCTCTAGCTCTGAGATATTCTATTAAAACAAATTACACTAAGCAATCAAAGCAATACTCATATTAATTGACTGCATCTACACCATTATTTTGTTTTCAGTAATGTTCTCTATTATAGTTAAGACAGCTAAAAATAAGTTATTTCTATTTTTGTGAAATTTATAGTAGAAAAGTAGTTTTTAGCTAATTTTTTTTTTTAATTCTGAAAGACATCATCTTTGTTGTGGCATTGATAGAACTTACCTTGCTTTTATACCTCTGATCTCCCAGTTTTAACTGAACAAACATTTCGGTCATGTTTCCTCCTGAGACGTTCTTCCCTTCTAACAAAGTTATACTTATAATTCCATTCCAGAGTTGGTTCTTTCTTAAGGACTCTGAGAGCCGCAGACTGCGTATCAAAGAGGACTAGAGCAAAAAATAAAGATGACAATATAAATGTACTGATAATTATTGGGAGTAATTCTGGCCATCTTAGGAATTCCAGCTTTCAGTGTTGGATTATGTAATCACTCCTTGCCTGAGGAGAAGTGCTATTCTTCCTTGGTTTCTCAGCCCTGCAGTCATAGTTATGTGACTTGCTTCTGCAGCTTTGGACTTATAACAGTATAGCAAAGGATGAGCATAAGCAACACTCTGATTTGGCACTGGTATACACTCCCACCCAGTTTGTTCTTTGCTAACTTTGTTCTTTGTTCTTTGTTCTTTGGACTGTTTTAATAGTAAGAAGGGAAGAATGGCATTTGGGGGAACAGAGATATCAGAAAGAGGCTTTGCATGCCTGGGAGACATGGTATCCCTGGACATTCAAAATGACTATGGATTTATCCTTCACATTTGAATATGTCTCCATGTCCCCTTATTCTTTGGACCAATTTTGGAAATCTCTATGCCCCTGTGAGAGTAACAGTTCCAAACTCAGCTTGTAGTGGCCTAGCTGACCAAATGAGCTTTGCAGATCGAGTGGGTAGGGTGGGGTGGAAAGGAGGATACATTAAGTATCATATAGCAGCTGGACCTAGAAGGGGATACTTAACTATCAACCTATTTTTTTCTTTTACTAAATTATATTATTTATGCTTACCCATAAATACCTTGAACAGAATATAGAAAAAGGCAAACATTACTTATTATTAAATGATAAAGATGATTGCATTCTAAGTATTTTTAATTTATTTCTATTATGTAAAAATTTTAAGCAAACCCAAAGGTAAAGACAATAAGCAGCATGATAAATATCCATGTATTTACTCACAGGATTCAACATTTTGCCTACTTTAGTTCATTTCTCCCTTCATTATTTTTTTCTGGCTAAAATATATTAAAGCTAAATTCAGCATTTGTTTTTACATAATCATCATACCATGATCACCCTCAACAAAATCAATCATAAAAAAGTTTCCTCAATATCATTAAATACCTGCACATATTCATGTTTCTCTGAAGGTCTAGACAATGTCTTTCTATGATCTGTCTGAGTTAGGATCCCCGCATGATCCACGTGCTGCATTGAGTTGGCAGCGTTCATTTGTGTTCTCAGCTCCATGAGAGAAATGGCACAAGCATAGACTTTTTATTTGAAGGAGAGATAAATGGGCTAAGGAATGTAAATGGTGCTCAGCATCATAGTCAAGCAATGAATTTCTAACACTATATATTCACTCCTGTCGTCCGCTCACTATATTTTCAAGATCATTTAGACACCAATTTTCTTGGACACCAGTTAGTAACAATTTATCACAACAAATGGTATGTCAGGACAATGTTAATTATATACCAGCTTACCTCAGCCAGCCCACGTCATCCCCCCATCTCAATAAACTATGCAACACCACCATACCAGGGCTTTTGTTGATCATTCAGGGAAGATCTACTTCCAAAGCAGCAGTGGATACACATTGCTTTTTTTCAGAAACACACACACACACACACACACACACACACACATACACTATTTAGAGGTGCTGATTCAAAATAGGGTGGGCAAATGGGTAAAGAATTAAAAGAATAAAAGTCCTCCTCTTACATCTCTTAACTCCCATTAGCAATCATGAACAGATAGAAATATACTCAACTAAAGTTTTGTGAAAGAGATAAAATTAAGTAACATTATATTTGTTAATAACAACACACCATAATATGGAGACAGGCATAAATGTGTTTACATTCACAGATGTGTATACACCTATAAAATATACTTACTAGATTTAATAGCTTGTATAGTATATAGGTCAAAAGCTTCTACCTTTAAAACAAAAAGATTTTGATTCATATTTCCTGCTGCAATTCCTTCTTTTCCTTTTGTTTTTAACCCCCCTTTCTAAAAGTTTGACTTGCCAACCAACAAGCTAAGGCATGACCCGTCCCACGGCCATGCTTCAAAGTTCCGACAGATATATTCCTCCCTAAGCACTGCAACTATTTCAAAATCCTTTTTATAAAATAGGGAGTCATGTCCACACAGGATCAAAGGGCATCCTACAGTCTGGCAATTGCCTAAGAAAAATGGCAGCACTTCCATGAAATATGCCCTAAAATAATTCTGTAGCTTGGTATGTCCTAATTTCAAATTGGATGTTTATCTTGGAAAGGCTTCTATCTAACTTGTCCATAAAACAGCTCCACTTAGCTCTATGAGCTCTGTGAAAATGGAATCCAAAGCTGGTTATTAAGGGGGCCTAGAGATAGATTCCATATGGCGGAACAGCATGGGAGGGCAAGGCTGAGGCCTATACAGGCGGGGCTTGGCTGGAGCTCCTGATCTATCCATGGACACTCGTTGCATTACACCATAACATCTGGATTATTGCTTGTAATGTCCCTGGGAAATATCCACTTTCCATCAAAGCCTTTATCTATCTCAGTCGGACTTTGAACATTTTAGTATTTAACGCAGTCGTGTTTGATCTGATGGACTTGTTCTCTGCTGTCCAAGTTTTTTTTTTTTTCTCTCCTTCTGAAAGGCTGTATAGAAGAGAAATTTTTGTGGAATTCACAGATAGAAAAGGACACAAGACCTTTATTCTACTTATTTCACCCTAAATATTTCTGCAAATGCCACTATAAGGCTATGTCCATAATAGTTTTGTTTGTGAGCCACATATTCTGTGTGTAATTTAAAGAAGTTTTTTTTTTTTTAAATTACTTTAACATTTCTCTTGCACCCTTGAGAGGTGTGCTGAGGCAGAAGGTATAACAGCAGAGTCTGTGGTTGGGGGCGGGGTGGGCCATTCTCGATGTGCTGTAACAGAGCCAGCTGGCAAAATCTTCTGTGTTCCGCTCTTTCTCCCCACAATAAATCGATTCATCTGCACTCACTCAGTTAGCTGAATTGCTCAGGTTTCCATATCTGTGCCCCCACCTATAAGTGAAATTTGTCATCTTAATGCAGCTGGGGATATGAAAAGAGAGGAGATGACCCATCACAGGGGAAGCCCACTCTACCTGAACTGAACTGAAACAAGCACCAGGAGATAGAGCAAAGTTTCTGGGTCCTGACCCTAATTCCTCAGCAGACATAACAGATGAAATATAGTCCATCAGGGTTTTGTTATTTTTCACCTTCCTCCCAAGAGATCGGAACCTTTTGCTATTTCTGTGTTCATTCCATTCTTGTGCACTCTTCCTCAGCCCCCATGCCATCATATCGACACCCACTCTTCTAAGAGAGAAAAAGTGATTTCCACGTAAAGCACACGGGTCGGCTATGAATAGTAGAAATAAGGCATGGTGTTCAGCTTATAAGCATACGGACTCGCATGAACATGAAACGACCTTGAAAATAGTCATTTGCCTCTGGGTTATGACAAACCATAGTCGAGGCAGAATGGGAAGAAGGAGACTGGGCCTAGAAGTATATACTATGCAGCTTTCATTCACCTCAAGTAGTAAAAGGATTCACTTCTAAGGCCTCAAAAGTTTGTGACCTGGGGATACTTCATCAAAACAGTGAACATGCTGAATTCTAAAGACATATAAAATGGGCTACAGCTTAGCAACAGATATTATTTGGGGCTACATGCTAATAGGCATAATGGGGAGATGGTGATATGGAGTCCAGTAGCCTAATTCCTTGGTGTGGCTACAAAAAAAAAAAAAAAACAGGAATGATGTAAGGACAACTCAGTACCTCCTATCTGTAACAAGTAGCAGAGAGGCTAGGAGTAAAGAAAGATCTAGAAAGAAAGGAGTAGAAACCCGTGTTGGTTCTGCAGCCATTGATATCAAGGTTACATTCATCTGTGCCAAACTCTTCAGCTGATGATGGTGACCAACAGCAAAGAGTGATTATCCAGAATACTTCCTTATATATAACAAAATTAAAAAATGGAATGCAATGAGAAAAGACAGTGTGACTAGGGTGTATCTACAAGGTGCCAAATACTGGGCCAGTATCCTCTCAGTGATCAAAGATTAACAATATCAGTGTCCCATACTGCTAACACTTCCTATATTGACTCTTATTATTTCGTTTTCAATGAAAACACATGCACAAAAAAAAAATGAACTAAGCTTGTGAGAAAAAATGAATGGTAAAGCAGAATTCCCAGCTCTGCTGACCATTGCTTTGAAAAGCGAAGGGGAAACATGGGTCTATAAAAGCTTTCACTGAAATATTCCTTTCAAGTATTTTCAACATGTAAAACTACTGTTCCTTGTCAACAGCTTTTATAGCAAGACATGAGAAGATCCATACATCCAGGGAACAGGCTCTCAGACAAGACCTTCTCCGGCAGCTCTTTTACATCATCTGAAGAGGATCCTGTAGCCATAAATTCTAGAGCTGCACAAAAATCTTTGCATAAGGATAAAAAGAAAGCCTTTTAAATTTCCCACATGTGCATGAACACGGAAGATGAGATTTATATTTGTAGGTGAAAACTCTATCACAGTTCCAAGGACATAAATAATCTGTGTGTACAAAGACATTAGCTATAAAAGTTCCGTTTTAAATTTAATATTTTGAAATTATAAGGGACTGTCATCGCTCAAGTTTTCCACTTAAAAATTAAAAAAAGAATTAACTAAGAAAAGATTAAATAAATAGATAAGGATTATAAATATCCAATGACACTCAGAATTTAGGACCGGGGAAATATTTTTAATGCCATTTCCTACCATTAAAAACTAGAAGAAAAAAATGAAGGTCATGTGATCCAACAAGATTATCTTTTTGTTCTGACATCTGGGAAACTGAATGTTGTGTCCAAAGGCAATGATGTTCATCATCTAGTATTTGATTTTTGGGTTGTCCTAATTGTGTTTACATCTCTGTTCCATTTGTCTATTCTTCTCCTTTACTTAAAGTACTACAGAAACACCTTTACTTAAAGTATTTCAGAATCCACGACTGGCAACTCACAATCAAGCTACTGAAAGTGCAGAGCTGATATCTAAGCCGGAGTGTCTTCTTATGTTTTGCACAATAGGTACCTCCTCATTGCACCCTAATCCTAGCCCCACCCACAAGATCTAAGGACTTGCAGCCACAGCTGATGACCCACAAGGGCTACCCTTTCCTACACCTACAATTTGACTCCTACTATTCCAGCATCCCACTTAATTCTCTAAATCAAACTCCCCATTCCCAATCAAATGCTAATTATAAAGACTTTTAGGTGAAACCTGTATCTATTTTTGAAGGCAATCTCTCTATATTTCCTACATCAAAAGTGGGGCAGAATAGTAAGGAAACAGTAAAGAAGAGGGTCTATCAAGATTCTCCCATTCAGCAATATCTGGGATGATACAAAATTATAAAGTTATGGGAAAAGAATCAATAATCAAAATTGCTCTAGGAATTACACTGAGGTTAAAAAAAGGCAATGATATTTTACACTAATCCACTATATCAGAACTAGTAAAATTTTATACTCCTAATGAAGTAATCTTCATGCTAAATATTACTCAATATTAAAATCCTAAGAAAGAAACTTCAAGTTAAAAAATACCAAAAAGGCCAACTAGGATATTTTAACCACATTTACAATATTAATCAGAGTGCCTACAGTTTTCATTGACTCGTTTTGATAAGCCAAAAAGGTATCTCACTTTTTTCTTTTAAAACTGCATATTCCCAGAAGCAAAACAATCAACATAACTATAAAAAGCCTTCACCCATCCATAACTTACATGTCACAAATAAGATCACAAGAAGCTTTCAATTAACTTTATCCATCTATGATCTTAACTAGGTATAAATACGAGGTTTGGGCATTTATTACATTCCTGAGCCCAGTATACAGAAGTCAAAATTCTGAAAACTACCATGATTTGGAGGAAAAAAAAAAGACAACAACTCAGTTTTGAGACACAACTCTGCAGTATATATATAAATACTGCTCTCTGGATCCTCTGTTCCCTTCATATTTTTGATATCTTTATCCAAGCCGTCAACATGTTTTCTATCCCTCTTCATTCCTTTGGCCATTCTTCCATAACCTCTCCTATCCTCCCTAGACACCAATATTCCCCAAGCTCACAATTTTTCTTTCTAGCCTTTATGTTCTTCAACAAACTGCCAGTGCTCTTCCACAGACCGAAGCTCCCTAACTAAAGATGGTTATTGATGTACAGTACCAGTGTTTTAGTGCGGCAGCAGAATCAATAAACGAGAAAATACTGCTTTGTCAGGTTTCAACAAAGCATTCTGGGAAACTTTACTGCTTTGGGTGGTTACAGAAACTCTTAATACAGAGAGCGAGAGCTGGGCTCCCTTTTGTGGTGAGAAATGATGTTCTTCTACCCTCTAGTGACTATAAAGGAATAAAGCAAAAGTTGGAGGAATTTTAAAGACAGTGTTGCACTATTATTTATCATCTCTTAAGTTTATTTTTAAAAAGAACAAGAGTGTAAGGAACCAGGCAAACTGGTAGGATAACAAATCACTTTATCATACTTATTCTAAAATGTTCAAAATGCAAAACATTTTAGTAAATGCGTGTCAGAACTTAGGTTCCTTTGGATTTTTTAAAAATACAATGGATTATAATTGCTCTCCCTCTCACATACACACACATATACATCACAGAATCTCTGACCTGGAGGTGCCACCAGTTTCAAATTCCTTACTTTACAGAGAAGTAGGCAACTGAGGTACATTAGGTTATAATTTAGAGATGTCACATGTGTATTCAGATATGTGAGTATATACATGTATACAGAGAGACTGTGTAGCTTCTTCCTGCCACCTGCAAATCACCCTACCACCATTCAGAAACTGAACTGAACAAACAACTTGAAATATTGCATCATTTAATAAGAATTTTTTATTGATTATTAATCTTTTAAAAAGTAATAGAGGTGCTAAATTAAGCTATAAATACATTTTGGGTTTTGCTTATTTCTAAAATAACTTTTACACTTAGTCACCTAAGTTAAATTTTGCTAATTTGGTAACAATTAGTTATTAAATAATGCATTCCTACCTTGATACACTTATACTTTTTCTAAATTAAATATTTATAAATTTTGCTTATAAAGATACTAGGAATGTAAAAACAAACAAAAGTATTATATGAAAAAAAAACTTTAAAAGAAATTCTTACCAAAAAGTGACTTTTTCCAAAAAATATGGAGACTTATAAAATATAGCATATATTCAGTCCTTTCAATCAATTATTACATTGCCCCTATAACATCAAAGCTGGTGTCAAGCTAATGGTAAATAACTTCCTAAAGGACTAAAATGAACCATGCTACATTATAAATAATTCAAGCTTAATGAAGTGTAAACTTCTAACATGGCCAATACATATAAAATGTCATCACTCCAGACAGTGTAAGTTCAAACATCTGGATATGCCTTTATTTAATAAAATGTTAAAGGAACATTGTTCCTTTCTTATTCATTTTGGCAGTAAAAGGCAGAGAATGTGGTTACAAGTAAAGGATGGATAATATCAATTACATATACGTCTGTATCTGTCACAAGCATAAAGTTTTAGTCAAATAAACTAAACAAAAAAACAAGCGTACTTACCTTGCTGGCACTCAGGTACTTCCGATTTGACCATCGCTATGGATCATGTCCATTGAACATTGAACATGGCAAAATGAAAGAGAAACAGAATGGATAACAATGTAACCATATTATATTATATGGTGCATATTACGTGCACATGAGTGATAACCAAATTTGGAAGGTACCATGAAAGTGCATTTGAGTAAACAGTAACAAAGAAAAATCACCACGTTTATGTTGTTGTGTTACATAATTTTCTCAAAGCATTTTGTATGCAAAGGCAATGACAGATGAATACTCTTCAATCTCTAGAAGTACATTTGTTCCTTATTTTTTTAAGAACTTAATCTTTATTTATTTGTTGTTATTTATTTGTCTTTTTTATGTGGTGCTGAGGATGGAACCCAGGGCTTCACTTGTTCTAGGCAAGTGAAACCCAAAACCTGTCCACATTTGTTCTTTAAGTTATCTTAAGACAGTATAACTTTATCTCTTAAAAAAATTTCTCCTGTTTGAAATTTACAAATTTTACTACCAATGTTAGTTCATGATTAGGGGTCCAAGGTTTTGATAACAGAAAACACAATTTTGTTCACTTTCATAGCTCATTCAATATGACACAACATTCAATATGACAGAAAACATCCTAAATCATTATTGTTCAATTAATAAAAATGAGTCAATATAACTGTGTAGGAGGGTAGAAAAATTTTCTTAATAGCAAAAAACTTCACCCCTGTTACCTTCTGATCTCTAACTTGTCATTTGAAAGCTGCTAAATTTCATCTACAATTAAAATTCTCTCTCAGAAAAATCCTCTCATCACTTCTGTGACCATCCAGTACTTCAAAGCTCTACTCTGGCTGGTTAACCAGCTAACTGGATATTAAAACTTGGATGAATTTGGGAGATTACAACTCAATTATGTATCTAATCGAGCAGACCCCATTTACTGATATGCTTAAGAAAAAAAATACCTTTAGTTAAATGACCTATCCACTTGGCCAATAATGTCTTCCCAATAAATGAGAATTTAAAAAAATATATTATTTAAGAGAAACCCATTTACCCTCCATTGACCAGCAACTAGAACACAATGGTACAGAACTGACTTGAAAATATTCTTTGTGAATAAGGCTTTCCTTGGTGAAACAGGATTCAACATTTAGCACACGACATGGGGTTATGATAATACAATCAGGGTACTAAAATCAGGTTTCCTGGTATTTTCTCAACATGACAATGAATATTTTCACCCAATTCAAGCACCAAAATTAATTACCATCTTATAGGTACACAGGGCTCTTTAGCCCTTTGATGGATAATATTTCATTTGATTTTTATAATGATTATAAAAGACAAAATAGATCAGGATAAAAAGGGAAGTGACTGGTACTATTTGCTGACTTACTGCTGTGCTATGAAATACCACATATTGAATGTCTCTACAGCATGGCAAGCACCCTATTTGGTAACCTCAATCTTCATGACCATATGAAAGATACTCTTCTTATCCGTATTTCATACATAAGGAAACTGTAGCTCAGAAAGGTTAAATAATTCTGAGAATTTTACCAGAGCATTGGTGGTACTGGAGTTTAAACATGGGCAGTCAGATGACAGAGTCCATTATTTTAATTACAATCCTATTTTTTCAAAGGAAAAGAAAAAGCATATTTGTCTGTCTTCCAGTCTCTTCCAGCCAGAGCCTTACCTTCTGACTGTACCATGCTCACATATATTTAAATCCCTAGACACAATAGTAAATTTAAAAATATTGCATAGATGAAGGTTTTTGCCAGTGTGGTTCTAAAGCAACAAAAAACCAACTCATGGTGTCGTAAAGAAAAAACAGGTACAAGACTAGGAATTTAAACTGAAATTTCTCCAACAAAGTTTAATTTAAAATAATATTTAAGGACTGCAGGTTGTAGCTCTGTGGTAGAGAGCTTTCCAAGCATGCAAGAGGCTCTGGATTCCATCACCAGCACCGAAAGAAAGGGGGAAAAAAAAAGAAAATTTATAAATTACTTTGATCAAATAATCTAGTGCCCTCCAGTCCCAAGTGGTAGTCATGCCCACTTAAAAAACTCCATATAAGATTTCCTTTAAATATAAACTTAAACTCAATGAAAACAACAAACATTTTCTTTTGTCTATTATACCCAAAGAGCCCATGACATGCACTGTAAGTTGAATAACCACATATGGCCTCCAATAAATTATGCTTCAATTAACTGTTCCTTGATAATATTTTGATCAAGTATACAAAAATAAACCCAGTCAAAATAAATGCAAACAGGCAAGGTTTTCTCTGTTATAATATATCTATAAGAATATACAAAATAAATATATTGTACATCAACCCTTGCCAGGAAAAAAGAACAAGAATGGAAACAAGTGAGCAGAAAGTCTGAAAAATTCTTCAACACAAGGGATAGGGAAGGCCAAGTAAAAGGAGAGCCAACTATTGTGATATTCTTTGAGATGTTTCAGCAAAACAAATCTATACTGCATCTAATATTAATTGGCCTGCAATTTGAAATAAACTGAAACTGTCATGTCACTAAAATTCTAAATTTTAGCAATATTTATAAGTGTATTTTAAGAGTCAACATGACTGTTAAATATAATCAAATATACTACAGAAAAAATCACAAAAATAGTCAATACATAACTATTTTTATTGGGAAATCATCTAATTTTCAAAATACCTCTGAAGTATGTTAAAATTTTTTTAACAGATATATGTTAACAAATATACAACCATGTGGCAAATTATGGTATTTTATTACATGGTATTTTATTCTAACCTAGTATTTTATTACATGGTATTTTATTCTAACCTAGTATCCAACTCAAGCAACCTAACACCTGCAGTACCATTGACATAGAAGAAGACTGAGAGGAAGTTAGAGAACAACACTCCATCACTACATGAGTAAAGAAAAAGTTTATTTTTAGCATTAATAACACATTTTAACATCAAAATATCAACTTTATTGATATCCTAAATGTGAATAGTGCCACATTTTTAAAAAGCAATTAATAGAGTTTTCTTCTGTTGCTGTCAAGTAAATTCTCACAAATAAGGAATTTAAATTTAAAGATCAAGAGTTCAGTTGACCCTCTGGCAATTAAAAGTTTAGTGTTCTAAAGCTGTCTTTATGAGTTTCCTAGAAAATCATTCATGATATTTTTAATTAAATAACTTACTTAAAAATTACTAGTTATGCCAAAACAAAAAGTTCTCTCCTTAAGCAACCCACTGCCTCAATTTAAGAAACATTTTTAAAGGCATTATTATTAATAAGCTTCAGATTTTTACAGTGGATTCTGCACATGTGAAATTGTTATACATCTTACTCTTTTTCAAATAGGTATTTAGCTGGCTTTAATAATATCTTTCAAATAAATTATCCCAAACTCATTTTGTCCTATTTTAATTCCTGGAATTATCATGCATAATCCCTAAAAATAAAAGGACATTATGATTCTTATAAACAAATGTGCTCAAAGAAGAGTCTCAATTGATTCTATCTTGTGAAGTCTAATGTTTTGTTGATGTTATAGGCATCTTCAGTGGGTAGAACATTAATTAGAAATTTCAATGTAATAGACCAGAGAATATTAAAATTTGCATCTTTCTCAAAGCAGTACCAATAGAGCACTTAGTAGCTAAAGTTTATTAAAAAAAAGAGGAATGATGCAAATGTATACTCAATCACCTTAATAAAATGCAATCAATACTTAAATCCTGAGAACTGCTTTTCATGACAGAAAAATATCTCAGTTATCTGGGACCTAAAACATTACTACTAAATAATTGAAAGCATATTTTGTATGATAGTTATGAACATACCATATGTATCATGTAAGTTTTAATAACACTAATGCTAACCATATCCATAACTAAAATAGAGATTAATTTCTAAGTAGATTTTCTTTTCAGGATTTCAAAAGAGAAGATGTATATAACCACAGATAGGCACTTTAACTCTATGAAAATGTTTCCACTCCAAAATCATAGTAAAAATGTCAGTTATCTGCAGCCCAGCAACCAAAGGACAATCACAATGACAAGTTTAAAAAGCACAAAAGGGTCACACTTACGTGTCTCTTGAAATCACCCTGTTTTACTACTAGGTTCAAATTCAACACAATCACTCCCATGTCATCTTCTAAACTGTTTGGATCTTCCAATTTTAAAATATGCTCAGTTGTTCTACGAGCCAAAAAAGAAAAATAAATGTAGCACTTATTAACAGTAGCACTTACTGTTGTAGTTCATCAGGAGTTTAAAGTAAAAGTTTCCTTCTCCTGGAAAACTATTAGACACAATGCTAAAAAGGCCCTAAATTTAGTGAACGTAAACCAACCAGAAAAACTATTTGGAATTGTCTAATTCAACAGTTGGTTAACTTATCTCCCTCTCCTAACACCCAAATAAAATATACATGTTTGTTTTAAATTAGGTTAATGACCCTGAATATTAATGAATGAATGAGCAAAACCCCATATACATTTTAGAATACATAATATATGACTTAGTGCCTGATTAACATTTGACATCTAGAAAGCAAGTCTCAGAAAATATGTTGAGAGTTATAACACTTTAAAGCACTCTTCCTGTCATTCATATTATTTTGTTATTTGATCTAAAGAAGTACCATTTAACATCATCTTGAGTTCCTTCTAAAATTGCAGTAATGACAATTAAGATGTAAAACTACAATACCTGTTAAGTTCAAGATCACTGAGAATGATAAATGCAGAACCCATGAAATCAGATGTGGTTAAATCTCGATCATACACCTACAAAAGGCAGAGGCCAGTTAATGCACGTGAAAATTGTAATAAACCAATCAAGTTTATTAAATGATTAACAAATGCAATAGGCTAGAAATTTTGAAATCCACCTTTCAGATCTTAAAATAATCCACCCAGTATAGGTAAAGAAAAATTTAGCCAAGCCTATTCAGAGAACAAAATTATCCAGTATTGCCCATTTTGCCTACACAGGGACCAAACAACAGTAGAAAAGACTTTCAAGTCGTATTCATATGAATTAAAATGCTACGCACAATGTACCGCTCTCTTTAGTTTAAATGGCCTCTCATTAAAATTTAGTATTTTCCATGGTGAGTAGATCTGCCAATTAAATAAGAAATTTGCTAAATATTCTATAGCAATCCCATTCTGCACTCAACTCATGCAGTGTTAACCCAGATGTTAGAGCAATTGATGCTTGCACCCAGTAGCTTGAAACTCTATTAAGTATAAAGTTAGTCCTAATGAGAAAGGCTTTAGTACCTGTCGCCGTTGCACTACCAGTAATAATTCTTCCACATTCAGTAAATTTGAATACAATCAATGGAGATATTATTTTCACTCTGATTTGCTATAGAGCCTCTCTCATTGATTTGAGAGAAACATAAAGTTTCTGCTAATGGTATAAAGAATTCATTCTCTATCATTAATACCCAGCCTTGAAGATTAATAAGGGCAAGTTAACTTTTAAGAAGTCATGGAAAAACTACTGAGAAATATTTCTGCTAGAGGAGGAGATTTGAAAAGCATCTATGATTACCTTCACCCGCAGCTTTTGATCAAGGCTTTGTATTGGCAACACAACTATCTCATCCCAAATTGGGTTTAAGTTCTTATATATGACCTTGCTTTTGTACAGCGTCTTCCCATTCAGCTTAAATTTCACATATGGATCACTTGTGCCTTTAAAAGAGAAAGAACAAGACAGAAGTTTTTAATATCCAGGTTTAAATCTAGAATCTCTATTAAAGTAAAGATGCTTCCCACAGTCCCCAGGCTCAAAGCAGTCTACAGAGCAACACCCAGAACAAACATCTCCTTACATAGAGATAGAAGGCCCCAGAAAAAAATAAAAAAATAAAAAAAATGGGGGAGTGAATGACTAATTCCCCTTTGCCTTTACAGTCAGAATACCAATGGGTTCCCTGAGCTTTTTCTGTTTGGTTTCATTGTGGATTCATCATTCCTCCCCTCCCTACCCACAAAAATTCCAGAAATCAACATCAGTGTCAGGAGTCATGGGGAGAAGCCCACCCCTCCTAGGGATAGCAGAGAGTCACTGAAAAGGGAAAAAAAAATGTTTCAAATATTTAGCCAGATGGCTGCTTCGACAGAACCCCATACTTTGAAATATAATCATAATAAATCAATCTCCAGAACCAGTGGCTCAAAAGATGGGGCGATGGGACTCAGACTGGATCTGGGGACGTAGAGATTAAAACAACAGAGTTGCCATTCTCTGTGCATCCAGGCACCTGCACGACAGCAGAGAGCATTGTTTCCCCCCTGCCAGGGGAACTCCAGTCAGCCAGGCCCTCAGCTGGCCTCAGCCCTGACACCGCTGACCTGCTGGGTTCTTCCCAGGGGCTGTGAAATGGACACCAAAAGGGAAGAATAATGTCCCTCCAGTTACTGCGCTCAAAGCAAAATGAAGGGCAATGGCAGATCCTCTTCCATAGTTTTCAGATCAATTGAGAGGAAAGAAAAAAAAAAAACAGGCTTTAGACATAACATGTGAATTACGTGCTGTGTCCATGTGTTATATGCATAGGCACCATCGTACAGTGCCTGGGATATGCTAGTTCATTAATACCTGAGGAAAAGCAAAAAAAAAAAAAAAGGCACAAATGAATGAAAAATCAATGAGGGGATAGAGATGAAGATCATCTGAAAATGCTATAAAGAAGAAATTCAAATTTGAGGCATTGTAGTTTATTCTGAAGCACAGCACTATGAACAGATATATGAATACCAACAATCTACCCCAAGTGGCTTGGACAGAGAAGATAGGTCCCCAGAAATATTTACTGAAATGAATTTCTAATATCAAAGTGAAGCAAAAATTATGTAAGAATAAAAATTATCGATTAGGTCACTCTGGCCCAAGCATTTATAGAATTTTTTTAAAAACTTTTTAAAGTTGTCGATAGACCTTTATTTTATTTACTTATATGCAGTACTGAGAATCTGACCCAGTGCCTCACAAATGCTTAAGCAAGTGCACTACCACTGAGCCCCAGCCCCAGCCTTGTTAATACCCATCATTAATTAATTGAATTATTTTTCAGGTCCTTTTGTGTTTTTATTTAGCCCCATATTAAAAATTACTTTAAAAAAATGTTTCCCAACGATTTTAGCTGAAAGTAACATCACTATAGAGGAAGAGAGGTGGGGAAAGGAGATGTCCTGGGAACAATTGCTCGAATTATGTTTTATATATATGTACAGATGTGGCCTAACAAATCCCACTACTTAAGTACAATCATAATGCACCAATGAAAGAAAGTTTTAATAGGTATACCAAGGTACAATTTGAAAAGTCAGCCTTCCAGCATAACAAGGCTACTACTAACTTTTTTTTTTTCCTTTTATTATGCTGGGGATGGAACCCAGGGCCTCTCAGATGCCAAGTAAATGCTCTACCACTGAGTGATTTCCCCAGCCTCCAGGATACTAACAAAAGAAATTAAGCTATAGATACATGTATATATTCAACTCTCACATTTTAAGTTTGGCAACACAGAATATGGGTAGAAGCCCAGTTCCTCTGATTTGAAACTTGGGCACACACACAACATGTTGAGCAGCAGCTCTTAGAGGGATAGTGAAAATAAATGCATTCACAGTCATTCAGTGGAATTCTCAGTAGCGAGTGAGCAACCCGCCCACCCGCCTCCCTCTAACAGTCCAAGAGAAATCCTCTGGCTAGCCAGACTTTAACAATCATTCTGATATATATATATAAAAAAAAAAGTGGTGGAAAACTATAATAAAAAGAGGCCTTTAATTAAATGAAATTGCCACTCTGGGATCAGGCCTTCATGCTTGTCAGCGTACTCTCAAAATAAACATCTCAAAACTCGGCCTCCGTGGTGTCACTTTCTCACAGGCAAGGCATACTGGGTAATCCCCAGGCATCTTGACAGCTACATAATGTTCAAACTGTTTCACGGGTGAATGGCGGCAGTTGCGTGAAAGAAAATATTAATGTCTGGAATTAATAGAAAAAAGGACCTGGGTTTACAAAGCCAAACAAGGAAGAGGGTGTCAAGTTAGTGCAGCGTTAATTGTTAGGGAAAATTTGAGAAAGGAAGGGAGCGCATGGTGATTTTCTCTCTTGGAGCCTAAGTGCCTCACTGTCAGGGAAGTGACATCTCAACTAGGCAGGTTCTGAAAAGAGGGTCCGCTGCTCAGGAATGCAACTCCCAGATTATACAAATGATGAGATGACACCTGAATGGGTGGACTTTAACCTTGTTTGCTGGGAGCTTCCTACACAATGAGGCTCTTGTGGTAGTTGGTATTGTGGGTGGAGAAGGATGGGAGTTAGCCCAGAGACAGGGTCTCCATGTAGGCGCTGCTCCCAATTCTGCCACATGAGCCTGATTGAGTCTCAAAAACTCAGAATATCAAGATGTCCAGAATCCATGGCCTGATGAGTGTCCTTCTCTTTTATAAAAACACTGGCTGCTGAGCAGAGTGGTACACACCTATAACCTCAGGGAAGGAGAGGCAGGAGGATGGTGAGTTTGAGGCCAATCTCAGCAATTTAGAAACCCCCTAGTCTCAAAATAAAATTAAAAAGGACTGAGGATGTGGTTCAGTGCTTAAGCGCCCCTGGGTTTAATCCTTGGTACCAAAAACAAAAACAAAACAAAACAAAAAAAATCACTTTGGCTTCCATATCTACCAGTTCTGCATCTGTAGAGTCAATCAATCGTGAATGAAAAATATTTGAAAATAAAATGCATAAACTGCATCTGTACTGAACAAGTGAAAACTTTCTTTCCTTGTCATTATTCCCTAAACAATGCAGCATAACACCTCTTGACATAGCATTTATGATAGTTATTATAAGTAATCCAGAGATTATTTAAAGTACATGGGAGGATGCATATGTAAGTTATATACAAATATGATGACATTTTATATGAAAGATTTGAATTCCATGGATTCTGTTACCTGCCAGGGTCCTGGAACCAATTCCCTGTAGATGTCTAGTGATGAATGTAGATACTGAGAGAAATGATGGCTAGTCATTGGTCCTCCAAAAATGCTGCACCTATTCCTGCTCCTGACACCAGGCAAGACAGTTCTTTTCTGTGTTCAGGATACTGACATTACTACCAATGGCCATATCTTGCTTGGCACTGAGCCTGTCAGGAAGCTGACATCACATCTGAGCTTGGTTCTGTGCTAGGCATTCTGGGAGGTTTCTGAGGTACAACACTCCCACATCCTGCTGCTCTGTTCCTGATAGCAGCAGACACCCCGTAACAGAATACCAAGTCACAGAGCGACTGTCCAGGTAGAACTGAACAAGGTAGGGGTTATGCTAGTTCATGTGCAGGAAACATGATTTTCAGCTCAGATATCAGTGGAGACTGAACTAAAAGACATGAGAGTTAAAATGAATGGGTATAAACTTGCTCGGAAGGACTGAGGTCACTCCAGTAGGAGGTACTGGCACTGAGGAGGAGGTAGGGAGGGGACCCAAAATGAATGGAGATGTTTGGTACCAAGCAAGCAGTCCATTGGATCCAGAAGTTAAGGTAGAAAAATATAATGAGAAATAAAGTTTAACAGGAAAGTTCACATCAGAGGCCCAAGGGCACTAAAAAAAAAATAAAGAAGATTATCTGTTATTCAGCAAGAATTACAGGTGTTTTATTTCCTGTACTACTTTTCTATTTTTAAAAAATAAAAGTAATATGTGCACAAAACCCTGAAAGGTATGAGATGAAAATTCAGTACCCTATTACTCTTACCTGATTCTGTTTGTTTGATGTGCTCACCATAAACAGTTTTATGGGAATTTTAGGGAGGGAAAAAAAAACACAAGAATTTGTGTTTTCACCGTAATGTACCTTGGAGTTCTTTTCATATTAGCAATTTATGTTGCTGGGATTTATGTTATTGTTGCTGTTGTTGTTTTTTTCAATAACTTAGCATTTGGTTTTATCAATTTATTTAACTAATCACTAAAAAATGGATATTTACATCACTTCCTCTTTTTTTTTACTGATACAAGCAATATTGCAGTCATCATTCTTGCATAACTATAAGTTCAAAGGTGATTATATTAAAAAGAAAGATTTAATACTGGAACTGTTGGACAAATGAAAATGTGCCATTTTGTTTCTGACACATATTATCAAATTGTTTTCTAACGTTTAGCAAATTTATATTCCCACCAGTACTATATATATTTTTTTATTTGTTTCTTATCTTGCTTACCAACTTTGGATATTATAGGTTTTTATTTCCAACCAATGGCACATGAAAAACTTGCTATCTCCATATTCCTCTATCTTTAACATTTTCAGGATCTTTCATATTTCATATTTCATATTTTAGTTAACTGTATTCATATTTCTCCATCAGTGAAATTCTTGTTCTTATCTTTTGGCAATTTTTCAATGGGCTCATGGTTTGTCTTTGGCTTACAGGTTTGGAGGATCCCTTCACCATGGAAATCAGTTATTGAATATAAATCTTGTCAAACTTTATTTTAACTTACTATTGGCAAGGTTAAGTTCATTTTTATTTAGTCAAATATACCATTTTTAAAAAACTTGTGGCTTTGTTATTTAACATCCTGCTTAGAAGCAATTTTCCCACTACAAGATTTCAAATTAATTCATCCCTGTTACTTTCCATTTGTTCTGGTGTTGTTGATGTTG